TGTTTTCTAGCTGGTCGTTTATCCGCTCTGATCATGACTTTGTAGTCCTGATTTGGCATGCACTCCAAATAGTCTTGAACAGCCTAACCAATGCAGTGGTTTTAATCGCGATTTTTCGAATCCTAATTGCATTACGGCTTTGTTGGGAAAGATTAGATCTTCTTGGCCACGGCATTGTTAATAATAATATCGACACAAAAAGATTTATTATAATAATACTCGTACAAACTCGTAACACTCGCACAAAACAAACGCATCGACCGGTCACTAGCAATTTCGACGTTTTGCGATATTTTCAAAACAAACTATAAACAACATTACGTGAGCTGTCAGTTGCGTTTTGCTATACCATTTATAACAAAGGAACGGCTAGACTGATGTTTTCACTGATGTTTTTTTTAATGATATTTATTGATGATGTTTATTGATGAAAATAATATTTTTATAACTTATTATCCTATTCCAGACAAAGACAAATCCAAAAATACAAATTCATAAAAACACGTCTTTGTTTTATTTATATAGATAATATTTCTGACATCTGACAAACAACGCCATCTGGCATCAAACCAAGCAGAGCTTGTACTATGAAAACTGCATTGACTGATAGAATACTTGTTCTTTTTTTTTTGAAAATACATACATATTATACATAGAAAACACCCAAACTCCGAAACAAATATTTACAGATCATACAAATATTTGGTCTTACCCGGGAATCGAACCCGAGACTTCAGCACAGCAGTCACATACGCTACCACTGCACCACCATTGTACGTGACGATTATCGGGAAGTGATTGAACTATCTATTATTTTTTAAACAATTAAAATTAGACCTCCTGGAGCGATGCATCAAGCAAGATGGATGGCTAGAGCTATTAACTCTTTAAAGATATGTTTGTTGTGATCCCAGTTAAAAATTAGCGCCAAGAATAAACGACTTCACTTCAAGACGTCTGTTTATTCATTGCGGTTATATATGTGAAACCATGGCTTGGATGTAGTCTAGCGTTGAAGGCTTAAGGAATATGAAACTATTAACAAATTGATCTCCAAAGCTGTCCTCAGCAAGTTTAGTCAACATCTTTGCTACTTGTCAGAAGCAATTGTCGTTTTAGCACTCTTTGATGATGAAGTTAATGAACAAACCAAGACGAACCTTATAGTGAACTTACAAAGAGAGAGTTTGTATGATTCTGGGAAGAGATACATTGCATATGAAGATGATATGTCTGTTTATATAAGTGGTAAGAAGGAATACAACACATAGTACTATTTTTTATACTGTTTTCAATAAATTGATAATAATACTGCCTTATTTATTGTTGCAGGAAAATCATTAAGTGATTTTATGTCTGTCAAAAGTACAAATTTATTTTCTCGATTGGAAATTGATAAGAATTTCCTCCAGAGACCCGTTTCTACATGGGATGAAGATGTTGCCTATTTAGAGGCAAAAAGAAAAGTGCTTTCTTTAAGGGCAGTTAATGATACAGCTGAAAGAGCTTATGCAAGATTTTCATGCTTTCATCACTGCAAAGGAAGAGCAAAAGCAATTTTTGCTACGCTGTGTTCAGGAGCATAGAAATCTGTATCCAAACTGTAGAAAAGAGACTCTTAAAAGAAAATATCCTGCCTGATCTGTAATTTTATCTTTTAATAAATATTTCCTAACATTAAAAACAGTAATTTTCCAAATCTTCAGAGTTCTGTCCGCACTGTTGACCTAGGAAGATAAAATTTTGTATTAAAGAAAGTCTGGGCAGTTTAAAAATTTTCGATATCTAAAAAAATCATACAAGGGACACCCTAGTGTTTTTTTTTGTCCTGTCTTCTTTTGTCTTTACTTGTAGTTTAAAGACAAATCTTGCACTAATAATATATATCCTGTGTCGCTGGGGACTTTACATACATTTATGAAACGCACACAAAGAAAACCCAGACTCAGAACAACAATTTGTGGATTACTTACACAAAGTGTTGTCCAATGAGGGGATCGAACCCACAACACTCAGCGCATTAGGAAGCGGCGAGGTGATTGCTTAAACTACTACGCCATCCTTGCAGTCATATTTGAACCCGATAGCGGTGGCATTGCTTAGGATGTATTGTTTGCGAACGATTACGATAATAAATTTTGAAGTCCAAACAAAATAATAATTATTAAATTAAGTTTTGGTCTAAACACCTTATTCCAGTGGTGGCACTTAAACACACTTCAGTTTAGTTTCATGAGAAAACTAAATTGAACTGTTTTGATCATAACCTGTGAAGGCTTTTCTGGTGTAAGAGTTTCGTAGTATAGTGGTTACTCTGAGACAAAAACATTTTTATTTAGATCTTTATGCCAGTTTTACCTCATGTATTTGTTGTTTGATAAATATTGACAAAAAAGTGAGAAAGGGATATTTTTTCTGTTCAATTATATTTATCATGGAATGCGAAAGTTTAAAAGAGTACTACTTCTGCCTATGCACGTCTACAAGTCAGGTGTTACAAGTGCTTTGACCCCTCCCTTCCTCCAAAATTAGGGAGAGGGGTCTGGAGCCCCGGTAACGTTGCTCACTCGGTGGGCAGCAACGAACAAATTGCTGAATACGGAGAACTTTGTTTGCGAGATGCAAAAGTAATAGTTACTATAGCAGTACAAAGAAAACCAGTCCCAGGCAAGCACCTATCTCTTTAGGGTTATGCAACGACATATATATGATAGCTATTATGCTACGAGTATCGTATGGAAAAGACAATAAGGTGACCATACCACCTTAGCGAGGATAATTCTGTGGGATCCCCCTTTCTTCAGATATTATATGAGTTTCTAAAATAGTTTATATTTTAAAGAACTATCATATTATCAAAATCGTTATACAAATTTTACTGCAAACTTTCTTGTTTTGCAATCACTGAAATATAAAGTTGGAAGGTTTCTTTTTTATTTACCTAAACACGTGTTTTTTTTGCAAATGATTGAAATGGTAGCGTTTTACACGTTATTTAATACACAGAAAATGTTCTATGTTTTAATTTCGTTCTAATGTAACGGTTGTAACGATCGATTTTGATTTCCAGTCGTCTAATTGCTTTTAACAGTTGTCATATTTTATTTAGTATTACATTTTTGGCAACGACAGGAGAACTAATAAAGAAAGTTTAAGATTAGTTTAGTTTGCCATGTATTTAGTATTTAATTCGCTTAAATCTGGAAAATGAAGATATTGTATTAATAACGTCGGATTTTGATCACAAGCTCAGCTCAACCGCGTATATAGCACAGATATCCACTCAAGTAGGTACTTGTGTACTTGTACTAGTATTCGTGGTATGATCTATTCAAACCGTATAACTAGCTCTCTACGTACCAGGGATTGGTTGAGATTTCATTCAGATTATGGTATCAATTTCTAGTGTAGCTAATTCTAGGGATAGAAATATGTTTCAAAAGACACGGTATTTTTTTTGCATTCCAATTAAAAAGACGGATGTTACTTTAAGCTTCCTTGGATAAACATTATATTCACCACCAAATTAATAGGAAATCTTATATGCTGTATGTATATACTTGTGTTTACGTTATGGATAACAATTTTTTTTTCTCTATTTCACTACTCCTAAGTAATAGAATCAATACGTTTATAGAGGAGCTAGGGATTATACTTTATTAAAATAGTATTAATATTAAAATACCTTTTGATACAAGATGGTTACAGTAACCCTAAACTATCAATACAATATTTGTATATCATTTGGTACATTTGTACTGCTCTTGGCAATGGCGAGTTAGAAACCAAACGCCCTTTAGTGATCGCCTGGACAGTTAAAGCGTTAGTTGTGATGTTGTAAGATAATTTTTGTTGGAATATTCAGATTTAAGGTATGTCTGTAGCAATTAAACCTTTAACAATATTTTAAAACAATTAAAATATAATTTTCCTTTATAATTCGATAAAATTTATTTTGTACAGAACATCGAACATAGCACATTATGTCTTTTGTAACCTCTGCTACTATGAAAATTGAAACTGGAACAATAGAACAAATATAAAATGAGTAAAAGTTTTTACCAAAATGACGTCAATGTACTAAAATTTACTTCATAATAATTCTAAAAAGGGGCAAAGGCATTTAAGGGTTATCACTTGTTTGTATACAGTGTTTGATTGTACAGAGAGGTTGATATCTTTTAATTAAGTAGAATGTGTTCAGATTTTTATGTCTATTGCATAGGTATCTTTTTATAACTTGTTACTTACAGAGACTGTATGGGTATGTATATTTAGGCTGTAGGTATATTTAGACTGCTAATAGTAATCTATATCTATAAAAGAAGAAACTAACAGACTAATTCATTGACAGATCGAATAACGCACAGCTGATACTGCTGGGTCTAGAAGCATGAAATTTTGCACAAATGTAACTTAGGTGACGTAGATGTGCACTAAGAAAGGATTTTTATAAATTTCACCCTTAAGGGTGTTTAAAAAAAAGTAAAATGGGGGTTGGAAATTTATACGTTTCTTCGTTATTTTTTGGTAGTAGCATTTTCAAACTCACAGTAAATACTCTTTATTAAAAGTAAAAACGTTGTTACTAATTTGAGAGTTGTAAGTTACTATGGGGATTATACATATACCTACCTGTAATCTTGATTTATTGTATCCTCTACGATGTCTGATTTCGACCACCACGCGGACAAAGTTGCGGGCAAAAAGTTGTGTGTAGATAAAAATGTAAAGTTGGTTTGTGTTCGCTTCAAAAACTTAAAAGGTTGTGCACCGATTGAGCTCAAATTTTGACATATAAACAACAAACACAATTTTAGTGTTAGTTTTGTACAAGTTCTTAATTTGGTTTTCACTTTACTTTTCATTATTTATTTTACCTATGTTTGTGTTAAGAAAGTTATAATAGAAAAAACATTCAATCAAACAAATCTGTAGCATTTTAAATCCATTTACCTCTCCGACCTCAAAATCTCGAATTAACACTATTTCTTTTCCAGACCGGCATGAACCGTGGCTCCCGGGAGGAGCTGCTTGGCAGCTCCCAAGAAGCCTTACGAAACAGTCAGCACGATCTCCGCCAGGTCTACGAAAAACCGCTTACAAAAGAGGAAAAAACTTTCCTCTTACATGCTGACAGAGGGGACTATGTTACAGTTAAAAGGTACGATTCCATAAAAGTACGAGATTTATTAGATGAACCGACTTGGAATATCCTTCAAATCTAGAACCAAATTAAATTCAAGAGATTGGTTGGTATAGTACATTCGATATTGGAATAGGGTTACACAGATTGAAGTTACTGTACGGCTGTTCTATGGCCTTGGTTAAATATATATCTAAGTACATAAAAATTGTTCGTTGGTCAACCTTAATATTCGATGGACTGTACATTCTGCTCTTGAGGCTTTCAAATTGATGACATAAATTTCGTTAGTAGATACACTTAAAGCATAATGGATTTTACAAATTTACAAATTAGTAGATCTGATCGCTAATACGTCGCTAATCTAATACATTACAAGTTCGCAATGACATGCAGCTATATGTTTAAAAGTTGCTGTAGAGTACTATTTATTGAATAATCAATAGTATTACATTAAGTCAAGGACATCTAACAAGATATACCTACATATAATTGTGTCCATGCCTGCACATAGGACAGGTAAACCTACAGTCTGCTTGACAACAACTGATAAAATGTTTTAATAATACTGGTCAGTTTTCTGCATGACCTCAAAAGCATACAATCTACACGATTCGTAACACATGTAGGAAGCGCCTCATGCCAGCCTGCTAAATAGGATTACTGGTATATAGCTACACTTGTAATGATTCCCTCTAATCGACTGATATGTACCATACAATGGGGCTTAGTGTCGATTTCTTTAAATCGAGTAGATTTAAAGCATCGATATAAAAACTGTATTCACCTTGAATATAGTTGATCAGTTTGTCTTATTTGAACCTTAAATACTATGTAAAATGGTACGAGTATGTTAAAAAAGTATTACTTAGTAACTGAATTAGCCGGTGACATAGATTAATACCAATATCGTTGCAATGAAATATTAAAAATCGTTAAAGATATTATTGAACTTTTTGTCAAACAAGATGATAATTTTTTAACCGTTTTACATAAGTTTTATAAACTCACAGAGCCCCTTGGTATACTCACAGCATGTTGCTACAGGTCACACAAAGCCCTTAAAAAAATAAAAAATAAAATAAAAGCTATAATTACTTAGCCTAACATATATATATAGGTATTTGATTTTGAATTATTATTATGAGTTATCTAATATTTTTGAAAAAGAAGACGTATATCATAATTTTATCACAGGTTAATAGAACAATATGCCAAACAGCCAGAATTCCTCGACATCAATTGCGTGGACCCTTTAAATCGGTCAGCATTAATAGCCGCCATTGAAAATGAGAACATTGAATTGATCAAGTTGCTGCTTACTTCTGGGATCCAAGTTAAGGTAAGTACAAAGTGTAGGGATCTGAATTTGCTGAAAATATAGAACAAATATTGAACATATACGAAAGAAAGGGTTTAAAGAAACAAGTTAGGTATTGAAAAAACGGAACTGCCGTACGAACAATCGATTAATGACTTTTTTGATTTGACATATCACATAGGAGACAAGCCTAATGCCGTCAACTAGGTAGGCATTTAAAGTTTTTTTTTTCCATTTCTACATATTAAGAGGTATGGTAGACAAGAAGAGAAGATGGAAATGGATATTCCTCATACGGATGAATTAAGGACTGTAAACAAAAGCTTGCTGAGGACCAGGTGTTGGTCGCATAAATTGAATTGTTGAAGAAAAATCCGAGCCCTATAAATTTAATTTGGTAATCTCGCCATACCAAAAAGTATTATAGTTCTAACGATGTCGTATATAATAATCTGGTTACGTGTTTAGAAGTTATAGTGGAATAAAGAAACTCATCTACATACATACATAAACCATAGAAACATTTCACTCGTCTTTCAGACTCGTAAAGCTAGTCAATAGCTTTGTTTACTTGCTAACGATTACCTAATTTAGTAGAGAGCTAAATCTTTAATGCTTTTAAGGAAGGTATACGGAACCTTTAGTTATGTAAGTTAGCAAATCAACATTTCACCACATTTCGATAATATCATAAAAAGACTCCCTAAAGTATTGGATATTGTATTCATTTTCATAATTAACAGCCTTTACTAGTCCACTCCTGGACGTTAGCATCTCCTTAGTAAGGAGGCTTTATCCAACTATACCACCACACAGGCCAGACGGTATAGTGGGTACGGTTGGATCTTGTAGAACTCGTAGGAAATCGGAATTCGTTTTTTACAATACGAAATACTAATCCTTCACAGGATTGTATTTTATATTTTTAGGGTTCCGTACCTCAAAAGAAGAAAACGGAACCCTTATGGGATCACTTTGTTGCCCGTCTGTCTAGATAGACCTTTTATCTCGGGAAAATATGGAGGTATCGAGTTGAAATTAAAACCATATACACAGGTCTATAGTCTCTTGAAGCTGTGAAAAAAATCAAACTTCTAAATTAACGTGAAAAAGGATACGACCGTTTATGCCGGAAAAACGCATATTTTAACACTCTCAAGGGAATCAAAGTTTGTGGGATACTTTCCGTGAAATACTGTAGTGAGGTCCGGTGGCCTGTATACTCATTGCGTCTTCATCATCATCATCATCCACAGCCTTTACTAGTCCACTGCTGGACATAGGCCTCTCCTTAGAAAGGAGGTTTTAATCGAGTTAAAATGCGTTTTCAGTCTCAGCATAGATTCTCTTATGGGGTAACAAAGTAGAACAATGTTCCGATATTTAAAAATAATAAATTGACAGATAATATCTCTATCCTGACGTAGACAGTTGAATGACGCAAAATTTTTGGCAACGTGACTGTCCATAATTTGTGATTATGTTAAAGCTTCTAGATATTTTTAAACTTCTTCGTATCTCAGTCACATCACTTTATTTTCTTATAAAAAGCACTGATTTGTATGAATCTTGGTGATTCAGTTCCAAGTAGACTTAAATTTTGACTGTGTTTTAATAAAGAGCTTTCAAAACTTATTAGCAGTATATTCGTCAGTTACTATTTTTAGAGTTTGTAAATTATAAAATAGTTCAGTATCAATTTGTTAATAACTGTTAAATGTTTATTTCTTGCAAACTGAAATTAATTAAGGATCTGTTTACTTGACATAATATATAAAAACAAAATTTTTGCAGGTATTTGTTTCGTACATGACTTGTTTGATCGTGCATTCTAAGTACGGTATCTGACGTATCGTCTAAATTTTATTTATAAGATACTAAAAATAATGTTAACCCCTAGCGTAAAGGTCAATTTGCGATCGACTAAAAATATTTTAGATTTTTTTAAGTTTAAATAAAGAAGGAAGTTCCTAATTCGGTTGCATGTTTTTTAACTTCAGAACTCCGTTGTTTGTGAATCGATTTAGCTAAAAATTTATTAAGACATTCCGCCATGTCTATAAATTGTTGATGCCATTCAAAAATACATCATCGTATTAAATATTGAATACAATTTATTATAATACATCAAGATGTATTGAATTGAATTGCATTGAATTCGGTGCTCCTTTTTTAAAAGTTAAATACTTTTAATTTCAAGATACAGATAAATATTTATTCTCGTATTAAATATTGTTCTCCAGTTTTGTTTTGTATGGAATAGTTTACCGAGGAAAACTATAGAATCCGCAATAAAAATCTATGAAGAAAAGAATACGACGAAATAATGTTCTGGCCCCATGGGAAATCATACCTGGAATAGTTTGCATGATCATATTGGCCATATATAACCGCAAGTCGTAGTTTATCGTAAATGGTGACATTACAAAATGGAAGTAATGGCCAAGTTCAGGTACAATGGACGTCACGAAGGTCGTAAGGTAGAGTTTGAAGTTATCTTTAGTAAAATTGAATTTGTTTAACCCAAAATATATGTGAGTATGGATATTTACGAATAACTGAGAGTAGTTGAGTTATTTCTTAATTGAATCCAAAAAATAATTAAAAATTTTAAATTGTACTTTTTAGGTTCCTCGGTAAAATAACCATTTTTTAGTAATCGTTTTCATTAAAAGTGCAAATGTACATTTTTTTTAAATATGACGCGTAGGTACGTCGTAATACATTAGTAATATGTATGATGTGTTTTTAGTAAATACTTTGTAGCTTGCATTTGCGCTTTCGAATATGAAAATGTAAATATGGAAAAATATGGAATCCTAGAGCACAATGCTATGTTCTTTGAACATAGCAAATGTACTCCGTTTCGCTCATTAATTCAATTAATAAAACCTTTTTTTGGTGCATAATACCTTAATTATTGGCTTGTTCTAGACCAGGTATATTCAATAAAACTATTTCTAAAAATGCAGCGTTCTAAGTATCTAGGTGGACAGTTGCTACCTGTAACTACGTAGCTCAGCCAAGAGAAGAGACTCATTAGATAGATTACATATTATAATAATTAAACTTTTGTACTGATTAAAATTTTTCGCTATGAGTTTTTTCTATTAATCAGTGATGGAGGCATTGTAAAAACAACGCATCGAGCTGTTTTTTTTGTTGTACGTAACGAAACCGGGTTTTCGTTGGAACTGTGCTCCGGTACATCAGGTACCGCCCTTGTATTAAATATCCAGACAGCCCAGCGAACTGTTTAGATTGTGTAAGTTGGTAAGATAGTACATATACGACGTCGCTAATAGTGAACATGAACCTCATTAGTTTATATATCGCCTGTAGGACGACTAATCTACAAATTAGACCACAATGTACTTAAAAATTCAGAGAACTCTCAGGTGATCCAGGTTAACTCAAATATATTAATTTCTACTTATCATAATAATGACTCGGAACGACGCTTTTCTCTGATGTCAATTGTTATAACGCTTTACTTTGTAGCTATAATTTATACAGTTCATTAATTTTAACGAAATCTTAAACAAACGTTAAGCGGTTTCCTTAGAATATAAACGACAGTTACATTCTTCCCTCTCAATCTTCCCAGCAGCCTCCGTGTTTAGTTTTCATCGCCATTTAATAAATTACTGTAAACATTTATAAACAGTTTAATGCCTCTTAACAAGACTTTATTAAGTTATAAAAATTAAAGTAAGGTACCTGCGAGGACACAGTTTATTTTACCTGTGGTTCAACTAACTAAGTTACGCACGGAGCGCGCTTAATTTTATTTCTACCTTGTGGGTGAGTGTATATTGTCAACATTTGCCTTAGACGAAGTTAATTTTTTAGTAGCTATATATTGCATTGTACAAGTAATGTATTTTTAAAGAAAACATCTTCATACCATGCAGTGAGTAATATACTTCACAGCAGGCATCGCCCGCGCTTATTTGGTCCTTGCCTGCCTATGTTGGAGTCATTACTATGATAATAATAATACCTTGGGACCTTTATTTTATTCACTAAGTTTTGTATAGGGTCAAAAGGGTCACCCGTATACATGTACACTTACAAGCTTACTCGTATCTTTTTTAATTATTATTTTATCACTGTGCTTGCTGTAGTCTCCTGTAAGTGAAGGAGTACCTACACCGACTTTATACCCATTCTGTCAATTACTGTATTTTTACTTGTGTATATCTTTTGTAGGAGATCCTAATAAATAAATAAATAAATGCAACTTCTTGGTAATTTAATTATTTAAATGGATAGGTAATAACATTCTTCTCATTTAATGAGATAATATTGCATTTAACTTGTGTAAATAAAACTGCAATACTTTCGAATATACACACGTATATATTCTTACAGCTATGGCGTACAAGTGATTTAGGTATAGCAATAAAAATGTGGTTTTTAGCATCGTAAAACTGTCTGCGATGGATCTAAAATGAATTGATACCGAATTCAAGACGGCTACGATCTATTATAAATGTTAAATATTTAGGTAGTTTTAAATTTTTTATTTCAATGTTAGGTTCTAAAAATATAGAAATACCAGTTCTAGAAATACGAGATAGAGTGATTCAATGATTACTAATATATAATAATATTCTTGAACGTATAGATAGCGCTTAATAGACGCCAACTAAGGACTTTTGAGCTATTAGTTTGTTTGCCCTTTCTTCTTAAAAGGCTTAGCCCCTTGAAAACGGCACAGACATATAACGGAACTTTTGCTAAATATTTTATAAAACAGGTGGTTTGAATGTGGGAGTTGAATTATGACTTAAAATACAAACATTTTGAGTTTAAGATTATGGGATGTGAAAAACAGATAAAGTACTTACTTGGTACTTATTTTTCGTAAAAACTTACAGGCATTTTAAACGAAGTTGCAGTTGAATGCACTATCAACAATACACAAACCTCTTTATTATTTTCATAAGTTAATTTTCTTGAGAGGAGTTTGATGAGTTTATGTTTTCGAGTACAAATACCCAGTACACAAAGTTGCTGTAACTCATTATTCATCAGCAGCAGTGTGGCCTGTGCCTGGACATAGCTCATGTAAACATTTAAATAAATAGACACTCAATGTCCAAGAAAGTAAAGCACAAAAAAATATTCATATACACAAATACACTGAAAACAATATATTTTTCTTGCAAACTTCTTTAAAGGTCATGTATTACAGAGTTATCAGGTTTTAAACAATCAAAAGAAGATAATAAAGAGAAAAAGACGTAAGTACCATTTGACGTGACGTACCTAATAATGCTACGAATGGGGGAATAAAAGATTCAATGACTTTCTAGTGAGCTGTAGAGCAATTTCACTTCAGACTAATTAACTCTACAATTTTAACAAGCTAATAAAATAAAAACCATGTGCTGTGCTCTTTTATGAAGACTTTTCTCTCGTGTTTTCTGATCATGTTTTAATATGGTACGGTTATACTTACTTGAACTAACCACAGGTTGGCGGTCGAATTTCGACTCTTAATTATTATTTTCTTTATTGACGAGTAATTTATTGATCAAAGAATATACTTATACTTTTTTTTATGCAGCAGTTTTTACATTATTTTTAACATTTTAAAAAAATGTAAAAATTCTTATCATTCTGCATTTCTTCTACCTTTGAAGGTTTGAAAATTATATGCTACGACGATTGTACAATTCCGAAGAATTTAGCAGTTCCAATAGAAGTTGATAAGAAATTGATGAAATTTTGATAAGAAATTTTTCTTCCAAGTTGTTTTCAATTTCAATTACTTGCCGTAAACATTGTTACACATTAATGGATTCGATTGTGTATGTACTGTATTGTAGAACTAATATTTAGGAAAAAACAACTTCGCAACAAATTTCCTATTTTTTATATTATATTACTGGATAGCTTAAAGTACTCTCCGACAGCATCTATTTTGATTTACAACTGCTAACCTGCTTCTGTCTCTTTGGTTCAGCGTCCACGTTTCGCAGCCATAAAGTGCAATTTTCTACATATATGTCTTCTTATTTCGATGTTACACGATGTCCATTTTAAAATAAAAGATTTGAATTTATTTACTATATCTACTGCTAACTCTAAAACATAATTTTTTTAGTTATTTTTTAAGCGAAGTAACTTTTCATACAATAAAGTTTATAACTCCACCGTTCCATTTAAACCGCGTATGTCATGTCCCAGGTAACATAATTGTCTCCTAAAAACTTTGTGCAGTGCATCATTTAACAACTGAAATTAGGAGCCCGCGATTATATTTAGAAAACCTTACATTAGTATACTTCAAAATATATACAGGAGCAAAAGGCAATGAAGTGGTCATCCTTATGCCAGATTTACTTAATAGGTTTCTAAGTAGCATTTAACAACATTAACTTTTAAATATATTAGGTTATAAAATGACACTAAAACTTATACTAACGTGGGGACAGTGTTTGAAACAAGCCACGCCCTCCAATCCATTTACATAATTAACAATTTTTACTTTAGAGAACTCTGACTTACCTGCAATAGCCAGTTCTACTACCAGATATGCCTTAGCTGCCATTTTCAAGTTATTGTTTACGCACTGTATTCCAAATCCAAATTCTTATTAGAATCCTATTCTTTTCACGGTCTTTTTGTCTATTACATTCTGCTGTCTATTATTTTCAAATATGGACATATTTCAGATTCTTAATTTAAAGTACACTGTAACTTCTAATGTAATCCATAATCTCTATTTTCATCAAGTAGTATTCTGGCAGAGATTGTAAACCACGAAAAAAATGCCAATTGTAGTTCAGTTTTAGTATACAAGATTACACGTAAATTAGGTATCCAAATTAACATTCTCACACAATCAACAACAGTCTATTAATTATTTTTTTAACAGGATGCTTTACTACACGCCATCAAAGAAGAGTACGTGGAAGCTGTGGAACTTCTGCTCCAATGGGAAGAGGAGCACCATGTACCTGGGGAGCCTTACGTACGTACACAATTATGTGATTTTCTCTTTAAACTCTTTTCCCTCTCTCTCAGATTGCACTACCCATGATTACAGGCTGACCTTAGCTTCCCTTGAAGCTAAACATCTGAAAACACGGAAAATGCTTACATTGAAAGTCAGTATCTGTGCATATAAAACTTAAAGTTGGTTTATATTCGCTTCAAAAACTTTTCATTTTTTACAACCCGCTTCAAAGATTGTTTATATCTGATTTTCCCTCAGCTTTATTTCTTATTTATCATCAATGCAACTACAATATGTCACAGCGAAACGTGGCATGGTACAGGTAGTTAAAAATAAAATAATATACACCATCATTATCGTAGCAAATACTAACAATAAGAATTTTTATTTACCGTAACTATTTCGTTTCGTTCATTTAGATACAGATCACCAAACAATAAAAAGTTTTGTGCCAGTTACATTACTTTCGTAACGACTTACTACATAAATACTAATATTGTGACTGGTTGTGTGATTTAAGACTTCTATTTTTACTAACAAAGGCCCAACAACTTACAATAACATTAGCCCAAAAGCTGTGTATGTGTGTGTGTAGTAGTAGTGCACCAATCAATGAACATGTGTAAGGCGACTTACATACGTTATTGACTTAAAAATAAATGATAACGTTTCGTGTCTGGAATTCTCACCAGCTAAATCAAAAACTTTATAGAGAAAATGAAGAAATAAGTACTAATGACCGTAAAGAACAGTGCTTCGGCACAAATGGGCCAAATCAACCTGTGTCATACCACTGTCGCACCGACTGAGTGGGATATCGGAGGCCCAACACCCTCTCCACTCTGTTTTATGCACTCATCATCAATCATCAACAACAGCCTTAAATAGTCCACTGCTGGTCATAGGCCTCTCCTTAGAAAGGAGGTTTTGGCCTAGTATACCACGCTGGCCAGACGGGTTGGTATATGGTTTTTGTCAAGTTTTCCTTCTCTTTGCAGTGCTGTTTTCCTGAGTAGTTTGCTCCCTTAGTCGACTCTTACTGGATGAATTGGGGTGGTGACACTCCGTATACTTAATCCGTCTACACACGGACAGTTTATGCGCTTAGGGAGTTTATGCACTCAAGAAGCGACAATGCATTTGTGCAAAATTTTTGTTTCCTATATAATAATATTTGTAGCAGCATGGTAATCACAAATCTGCCTGTCGTCATCGTTATCAAAGGCTCGTCTTATAGACATATTGTGTATCATGGTGATGAGGTAAACGACTGGAATGGACAAAACTTTTTCTGCATGACACTTCATATACATCATAAGCTACCATGCTACTTTAAAGATATACAAATCCAGAAATGTATGAAGAGCCGCGTACACGATTTACTTATGGCCTAATAGCTTATGCCAAACCTTATTACTCTCTTAGAGAATTTTAAGTAGATATTTTTTTTGTCACAGAAATAATACCAGGAAAGATTATTGTTCAATTGTTTACGCACCTGCACCGCAACACTGATCGAAGACTATAATAATATCTACCTGCATAACTAATCTGCCTCTCTTATCACAGGACCGATATAATGTATGTTAGTTCATTCCCATTTTCATTCCAGGAGTTTTACTATACCTATGTCAATATCCGTTTGCCTTTTTTCAAATTTATGGTGCCTGATGCACGTGGACTGTCATAAAAGAAAGCAGCCAATACTATCAATTGGCAAAAGGCAGAAAGATACGCTGTGAGAGTGATTGAAGTTGATTTCAAATTGGCTAATTTTTGTTTGTCTGTATGCAGGTTTCTTAAAATTTCGCATGTGGCTCGGGCCTTAATTCGAGTTTACTAAATGTAATCATTGGGGCGATCCAACATGGATTAAGTACTTTGTGTACTGTTTATGCCTTATTTAAGGTTAGCAAGTTAGAGTCACTGTTATAATATTCGTGAATACTGAGTTATAGTTAGAGACTAAGGGACTAATTTTAATTAAGGGCGGCAAATTAACAAGTACAACTAAGAGGGAATATAGTAAATTTAGTCGCTAATTATTGACATAAAATTGACTAATACAGAGACATATATGTATGAATATCCTCTCTGCCACATCTCAGGAATTCTCAAATATTTTTATTCGTTAAAGCTTAAAAGCGCCCTAAAACTTGTCCTCTAAAAGCAAAATAAATAAAAAGTTCTTATTTTATCAGGGGTGTGCAGTGTATTGTCGCTTGAATGTCGCTTAAATTAAAACCGAAGGCTTTTGTTACTTTGAATACGTTTGTTATCACGCAAGCACCAGGATATTGCATTCACAATGTTCCCTTGATGAAAAATCAGAGTAGGTTCGCACTGTAATTGATTGACTTGTACGAATATGCTTTGCTCTTGTTAAATCCCAAAAAGGATTATATCTTTTTTGTACGTTCTTACACATCATCAAACAAACCACACCCCAAGAGAAATTATAATTATTAGGGTGTGCTAACTTGTCCCCACTGTGCACGTACTTTTAGTGCCAATATAGGGTACCCAAGCCCCATCAGAACACACGCTCGAAACTTGGACAACCAAACATAAATTGACTTACTGCACAGATGGCGTAGTGGTTTAAACGGTCGCCACGCCGCTCACTACTACGCTGAGTGTTGTGGGTCCGATCCCCACATAGGACGACACTTTGTGTGATCCACAAATTGTTGTTATTGTTGAGTCTTGGTGTTCTTTGTGTCTGTTTCATATATGTTTGTAAAGTCCCTCGCGACACAGAATATATTCCCTAATGCGGAAATGTATTTTATACAATTAATAATAATTTGATATACATACACACATCACACAGTTACCGCAGTTAAAAAATATCTTTCAAGATTTGTTTTCTTATTAAATAAGTTAGTAGTGAAGTTAGTTAAAAGTGTGTTATAAATTAAGTAGAACATACGAAAATATACTAACATCATTTTCATCCATCATCAGCCAAATGCAGTCCACTGCTGGACATAGGCCTCTCCCATTGCCCCGCCACTTCGATCGATTTTCGCCTTCTCGCATCAACTCCTGCCAGCCATCTTACGCAAATCGTCGCTCCACCTGGCCTGTGGGCGTCATACACTGCGTTTGCCGAGACGTGGCCTCCACTCAAGAACTCGTTTACTCCAACGGTTGTCGGTTATACTACATACATAATACTACTACGTTTTTATTTATACCTTTTATCCAGACGCATTTTTATTGACAAATTGTACACAAATCCAATTATATTTAACAACTTTATCAACTTTAACTAGCTAAAAAGCAAGACATTTTTTCTTTATAATGTCTTTGAGTTTTTTGCTATAATTAAATCTCAATTTATTGTTATCAGAGCTGGGAATCAGTTGACTTGGCCTCGGCGACTTTCACTCCTGACATCACACCGCTGATTCTGGCATCTCATAGAAACCACTATGAGATTCTCAAGATCCTACTAGACAGGGGAGCGACGCTGCCTGTGCCACACGACGTCAAGTAGGTACAGACAACTTTCGTATTTCGTGGTACAATAAAAAAAACAGTAAAAATGGCTCTCAGACCAAAAATACGTTTTTAAAAGATAGATATCCCACTCGTTCGATAAAAAAAAAAAACAAAAAAAAAATATAAACATTAATAAATCAACTGTATAAATATTACTTATAAGCGACTTGTTATAGTTATTTTCCTTGGAGGATTTGATAAGCATTAAGTCCCATAATAGTCCTTATGCCCTTTAAAGTCAAAGAGCTACTAAGAAAGTTCATATAGTGAAACAATATTGTTCAAAATTAATTGTTCAGCATTAAATGTGAGTAGCATTCGCAGATATTGGTCCCTTTTCTTAATTTCGTATGTACAAGGTACTTTACTGTCAAACAAGTCAGAAGACATTTTTCTAACTTTGGTAACAGGTGCGGATGTGACGACTGCGTGAAGTCCTCCCAAGAGGATTCACTCCGGCACTCACAAGCTCGCATCAACGCATACCGAGCTCTCTCATCCCCTTCCCTTATTGCCTTATCTTCAGCGGATCCTCTACTGACAGCTTTTCAGCTGTCTTGGGAACTTGGAAGGCTAAGTCGGATGGAAACTGAGTTTCGAGTGGAATATAAGGTGAGTTAAATGTATTTTGAACTGGATTAAAGGAATATATTGATATAAACTGATCCTTGCAAAAATAATCTAGGCCGAAGGTAGTATCTTTTTTTCCGTGTCTATTTAAGATACGTCCTTATTAACCCCGGTTTGATTAAAAGGTATTGCAGCAACAAACACCGTATCATCATTGCAACAGTTAGAAGAATTGAGAAAAATAATATGCTACTTCATAGTCACCGAAAATCAAATAAGTATGATGCTGAAAGCCTTTTGATTTTGTTTAATTTAAATTACAAATAGAAACTCCGTCGAAAAATTGTGGTCTGTAGAATAGAGTCGATACACATATTTCATTGTTTAGGCAAGTAATTAAAACTACAGTCGTCGATATCATAATAACTTTGTATTAAAATTTGAAACTGAGTGAAAATTTTACTATCAGGCACTTCGTCAACAATGTCAAGAATTTGCAACTTCTTTACTGGACCATACCCGTACATCCAGAGAGTTGGAGACCATGCTCAACTATAATCCTTGGGACGTAGACTGCTGGGAGCCAGGGGAAAGACAGACCCTGGGAAGATTGAAGCTCGCAATCAAGTATAAACAAAAGATGGTATGTAATTAGTGATTGTTTTACTGATTACTATATTCGTGGTGACGCTTAAGATTACGTTGAAATTTTCTTATATTGAACCCTGACATCTAAAAATTCAAACCAACAAATACATACTGGTTTCTATAATACACAAATTTCAATTATATTTTGTCACGATAACTACATGGATTGGGTTTAATGAAAGTCTAAATAATTAGTTTATACTCATCTGTAAAGAAGAATAGAAAAGATATTTCCACATATAAAAATAGTCTGTAATATAATAAATTATACGTCGTTACTATAAGTTTTCATTAGTAAAAAACCGGACAGACGCCAGATAAATTCGCTCTCGGATTGTATAACGATAGTTTATTTAGCCTGGGAGTTGATTTTCGGAGGCTTTTACAGGTCTACTAAGGACGAAATGATTTTAAGGTCCAAGTATAACGACTATGAGTAGAAACACCATCTTGATATGGACTAAAATTTAAAAAAAGTCATATCATGTAAATGTTTTTGGTTTTGACTAACTGAAAAATATGAGTTTGTAATCACAAAAGTGTGTACCCTGTCTTGCTTAATTATATTTTTCTACTTCAATGTGAACTAGAAAATGTGCCCTATGGGGTGTGCCTTAATTGATAACAATCCAAGATTGAATGACGTACTTAGAGTAAATAATTGATGGTATGTTCATCTTAATACCTCAAAGCAATCTTGAAAAAAGGGGTCTTAGTAGACAAACAGACAGATGAATTACAAAGGAATCCTTTATGAGTTCCTCTTCTATTCTTTGGAGGAACGAAATTGTTAAAAAGTGATTTTAACTAAATCATGGAAATTACTTTCGCATTAGTAAATTAAAATCCAAATTCATATTTAAATCAAAACTTCTACGAAGAAAAGTTACCAGGTTGATTCAAATCAATCACTTTAATGGTTTGAAATAGAATTATCCTTTAACGTCACCAAACGTCGGGTTACAAGCCCGTTTTACTTGTAGGGGTGTTTCAGACCAGAAAATTCGTGCTATTTTACGCTTAATTTCACCGGTCATATTACGTATCATGGTCTGAAAAGGGTAGATGGAATTTATAAAATCTACAGCAGCTAACATTATTATCATACTAAAAAATATACCTACTAGGTACTAATTAAGTATGCTGTTTTTATGTATCCATACTTATAAATGTAAAAGTGAGATTGTTTGATTACCAATAAACCGATTTCAAAACTTCTTTTACCAATGACAATTATTAGCTGGTAACATAGGCTACTTTTTACCGCGATAACCGACATACATGCAGGCGGAGCCACGGGCAAAAGTTAGCGTCAAATAAGTTTCAAAAAGTGTATGTACATAAAAAGTAACTCTAAATGTGGCTGCACTTGGGTCTTTTGAGTTTGAAGTTTCCATTGCCGGCTATACAGCTATAATAACAATAACTTCACACTTATGGTGACCAGACAGAGCTGATAAACATAATTAAATACTTCTTCATATATACATATTATAGATAAATTACACCCAGACACATAAAAAACGATCATGCTCATCACGCAATATTCAGTCCTGGGTAGAAATCAAACTCACAACCTCTAGCTTAGCAGTTAGGATTACTAACCATTAGACCAAGAGGCCCTACGAATAGTCGGATAGTCACAGCATCGGGTGATGCGTCCCCTCATGTGACATCTATAGAATAAAAAAAAAACATTTAGAATATATTATTTAGAGATTTAAATTTCAAATATAATAGACAAGGTAACACGAATATAATATAGCTCCCAAAGTACGACATAAATAAAGCCTCGTCATTAACATTAGCCTGGGAGCCTTGTGCAAGTTTATTTCACATTAACTCGCTCTCGACAGCGAGCGCGATCGGTGTTGCGATTGGTGAAGATTTCAGGGCGGGTCAATCGCAGCGACGAACGTGGTCACCGTGACGTAGATGTGAAATAAACTCACACTTGGCACACTGATCAATGACGAGCATTACACCACTGAAAACTCATTAAATAGGGAATCGAGAGCATAAATATAACCAAATAAAATTCAGACACATATAAAACATACAGTAAGACACTTTACACGAGACACAAACATAACCATATACTCTTTTATGTTCACTTCAAAATTTCAGGGACAAGAACTCAATGCTATAATACACAGATATTTATTATAAGTAGTTATTTATTACTTACATAAACCTGCGGTGACACTACAATACTGCTTATTAAAAATATTAATGAACCCCAATAAACTTCATATAAATATTAAACTATGGCTAGAATTATTGCAGAGTTTTCTGAAAATGTGTCAATAATATGACCACACTTCCCGCCTGTATACGGCAATTCGTTAATATTTAATTACTGAACTATACCTGTACATTGTCACATTAATATTTTAATCGCAAAAGTTTGTGGGCATCAATGTATCCATGGATGTTTCGTTCTAGATGGAATTTGGTACAGACATAAAATTTTAGTCTGGCTACTTTTCAAAAATATTAAATTGATGCATAAAGTCGACGTTTCGGCAACAGCCAAGACATGCTCAAGGTCAGAACACACACACACTCCCCCAATCCATTCGTATAAGCGATATCTTTATTCAACCATAAGGTACTTTCTCTTCTGACCTACCTTCACTTTTATTGTACTTATTCCTTATTTTTTCACTCCAAAAAATCCTAGTGTCCGTTTGATGACAATAGACTGCGCCCCTGTTACATAAGTAGGATTAAACTTTTTGGCGGTTTGAATTCGCGTCTGTCTCCCCTTCGGGGATATAGACCTGGTTTTAAGTATTGTTCCACAATGAAAAGATAAATCTAAACAATAAGTACATAAAATACTACCTATTGTAGTTCATACCTATTTCTGTGATCATTTCATCTTGTTCAATTAGTCAATTGATTGCATGAAAAAAATCCAATCGGGAAAGTAAATAAAAAACTGCGGCAACTGTATAGGAAGTTTTTATTAACGCTGTAACGCGCCTTAGCAATGTCGCCGAGTTGAAACCCGTATCTTCTTGTCTTTAATCATGTTATGACATGTCTAGCTTAATGGATTAATGCGCCGGCTACAGACGGTGATGGACTTTGGGGGATGCCGCTGTTTGTCAACACCATGACCTCGCAATGGTACAGTCAGTAATTCACTATCTGGCGTAAATAGTAAGCATATTATGTATACTGTTTTATCTGTATGCTATAATATATACATAGATTCATATAAGCGGCAGCGGTGTAATGGCTAGGGCGTCCTGCGCGGTCATTTGGTTTAGTGTTCGAATTTAAATCCCACTGAGATACTACCAACGTGTCTCCTAATACAAGCATTTAGCTTAATATTCAATGATTATTATTCAATAGTTATGTTTGTCCAACGACACTAGCATTATTTCATAAAATGAATATTATTGGAAAAAACATACCCACCGGGACTGATTCCAAGTTCTTGTATCAGATCATTCCAAACAGCCAGAGATTCGTCAGAGCAAGGCCCAAGTTATGCACTGTTCGTTAATCGCGTATGTCTTGTTGCAAAAAATCTCCCAACAAAGATTGATAGAAATTTTATGAAATTCATGACTTTAATATCCATGTTTGTCCAAAACCGTCCATTACAATAAATCAACAAGTGTCACAAGAACAAGAGTAGTCATTAATAATCTTCTTTTTAATTATTTTTTTCAAACTTCTTTTGTTGTCTGTTGTCTCATGACTATATTTATGACGATCCTATAAAACACACCTTTTAGCAAGATGCTGCAATTTCTATTAGGGTTATTTCCAGGAAATTCTTCAAAGCTGACGTGTGGAAGATACGAACATGCAAGACAAATGCCTCACCTAAGTAAATACACGGCTCTAATGGGCACATACTCGTACCTAGCTTTACTTCACATACTCCGTACCGAGCGTACCAATATATCGTACTACACAAACTCGCGTATCGTCACTTCTCGTTTTACTGGCTATCTAAGATGGAGGAGCTGTTAGGATTAGAACACACTGTATTTGAAGGAAATGAATTTAAAGTTATTGACTTAATTAACAGTTCAAAAATAAAATTGATGTGTAAAATGTAGGCTTTAAGCTGTAGAACTATTTACTGAAAAAAAACAGAGATACTTTCTATTCACATATTTTTTTATTTAAGTTCAGATTAGATGTTGTATCAGAATGAAATTTGTTCTGTTTACGCTACGTTTCAAAACAGGAATTAATAGGATATTTCAACCCTCTGCTATTCGTGTCGGTATTTTAGATAACGTTTACTTACTTTAAATCTTATTAAAATAGCGAAAAACAAAACAGTGAAGTAAAACATTTTCACTTAATATACTAACTACTATCTATACTATACAAACTATATATAACACAAGATTTAGACTGATTGGAAATGAGTGGTTTTAACTTGACACTAGCTAATATTTTTCACTTCAAGATTGACTTTACAATTCTTTATTAAAATACCTATTGTTCACGTCAGTGATTTAAAAATAAAATGAGTATTGCTAACTTGACTTTACAATGCAGTTAATTTAGTTCTAGACAATTTACTTTATTAGGCCACAAATTCAATTCGATAGGTATGTACACCAATGTACACTACTCTTTATTTAGCACTAATGGGCCATCTTTTTTACTGTTTTGGTACGTGATGTATAATGCGTTTGCATTTCAAGTATAAATATTACTTGAAAGGAATACTGTTACGTAAATAATATATAATAGAATAAAATTATATTTATAATAATAACCTTACACATCTCACACACGGCTGTCTGATCCCAAATTAGGCAGAGCCTGTACTATGGTAACTAGACCGCTGATAAAGATACTTAAATAGTTCTAAATACATACATATTATAGATAAATTACACCCAGACACAGAACAAACGATCGTGCTATATAATAAATATTTTATGGACAGTTAATACTTTTACATAACCTATTTCTTTTTGTGGAATGTCGTCTACAAAAATTTCGTATATA